GAGTCTGTAAATATTATTTTGCATACGTACACGTAGGGTTTTATGATGTAATATGTTTGACAGAGTATATTTTTAGATGTCCATGGCTTGCCTTTTCTTTATTTTGTTTTTTTCAATTAAATTTGTATTATTTAAAATCGTGAAGATGAATTTATACTTGGATAACATCTGAAACTTCTTCTTTTTGTCAACAACTAATAATGTGAATACAAATATTATATGTTGAACTATAAACCATAGGGGAACGATGAAGTCCTAATCAAGTTAAAGAAATAAAAGTGAGGTTTAAATGTATAATAATTATTCTTGTCATACAATCAACTTTTGGTCTAAGATAGAAAAAAAGAAAACCCTTAACCTTAATTTTTGACATTAGTAATATATGATTATTGGTTGTGTTTGAGAACAAGCATACAATAATAGTAACTTAAGATTGGGTTTTCCTTAGGAGTTAAATTGGTTAACCACCAAACTAGCCACTGATTTTTCATCTTTTCTTTTAGACTTTACTAGAACGTGTGTGTAAACATAGATTTTGAGGTAATCTTAACCAGACTAAGAAAACATTGTAATAATTTTAGCGAGCTCATAGTTAATACAAGATTTAAAATACTAAAAACTAGCACAATATAACTTTACCTTATTGCAATTAGTGAAGATAATATGTTTATTGTTTTGTTTTAGATACTTCATGAAACATCTTTTTCCACGGAACTTCTTTTCAGTTGACGTTTGTGAATCCTCAAATTTAAATATTATATTTTTGTTTGTGTCAAATCTCATTTTAGTTTAAAACTAATATTTTATAAAAATGAATGAACCAGTTGACCAAACATATTTATGCAAATGGAGTATTACAAAACTTTCGTTCTCATAAATGATAATTTTTTTAAATCCCAACATCGCAATAGTATTTCGCTGATCATACTACTTTTTAACCTTTTAGTGGTGATTCTACACCAAAAAAATACAAACTAATCATATTATGTGAGGTCTCTATCTTAATTCTTTTATATTATAGCGGTGGTGAAAAAACGAATAGAAACGTAAAAAACAAACATAGGTTTTATATGTTGTTCACCATTATTTTGTGTATATGTATGTGCATGGATAGAGAAAACTGATTCAATGTGACACAATGAACAAAAATATGTATAGAATACATTGATTCAGTGTAACCCAATGTTATTGCAAACTCATCAGATTCAAAGCATATCAGCATTTTTGTAACATTATATTATTAAATACGGCCAAAAGATATCTACCGTTATAATATTATGTCGTATTCTAATCGAATTATCTTTTATGCTCGACGAATGGACGAAACCAATGAAGTTTCAATCATAAATTAGCAGCTTATTGAAATGGAGATGAATAATATACGATTGAGGGAAAGCCACGTAAGAGAGTTGTGAGGCTGAACCAAAACTCGTGCTATTCACGTTAGAGAGATCATGAACAACACGTAGTCAACATTTTCTAAGTTATTTGATATTATAGATTTTTGTTATCACAAGATCAGTAGTGTCGATTCTGTCTTTTTCACTTGCTGGACTCTCCCTCGATTATTTTAGTCTTCTATAGTTTGTATGAACGGTGCTTATTTTATATTTACTTTGTTCATGTTAATTGAGACCACATTAAGCTAAATCCA